GTTCAGACGCCTGTGGGTAGGCTTGGTTATCTTGAAATGTTGCCAAAAGCTTTCTTTGGTGAGTATTCCTGTATTTTACGGGATAAACGCAACTGCGTGCTCAATTTGGGTCAAATTTGACAAAATACAATCAGCACCTGCAGAAAACGTTGTTTTTTTCAACAATTTCTTTAAAAATCCCATTTTACCGTGGATTTAGAGACATGAGTTCGGAAAGTGAAATCACATGCTGTCACTGCCTTCATTCTAGGCAACACATTAGCAAAGAATTCCCATTTTTTATTTTACTGTGCATATATTTTCAACAATAATGGTAATCGCTCCTACTTTATAAAACGATTAGATATTTTAAATACTTACTTCTCAAGGACAATGCGCTGGCGTACAGTGAAGCGGGCGATTGGGTTGCAGGGTGTCGGACGTCGTGGACTACGTCAGCTTTGTTGTCGAGAGGTGGTGTTTTCTACCTGTCCATGTTGTAACTTATGTATTGACAACATTAGCATCACATTTTAGTTACCAATGCTGAATACGTTGTGACTACCTCTCTTTATTTGCCGATTCTTCATTTTAGCTTACGACGCAATGATGATTCCGACGTCCCCCCTTTTTCCTAAAGCATTACTCAGTTGCTTGATGGTGAGAGACTTTGTGAGAACGATTGCAATGCTTCCAACAAAAGGGAAAAATCATTACCGAGTTCTCATAGCCGGTGGGGGCACGGGTGGGTGTGCGGTTGCCTCAAGGCTTCGTGACGTTTTGCCAGCAGGAGCAGTCGGAGTCATTGAACCTCATGAGGTGAGTTTATTTTCCTTCCACTTCCTATTACCACCCAAAGCCTGATCGAGTCAAGGGTGCTAAAAGTGTGCATTCAAATATTCCTCCGAGTCGTGTTCGCATTCTATTCCAAGTTTTGTTTGGAAGTTTCTAGATTGGTTAGTCTACGAATTCATTCCTTCCATATGCTTTTCTTGTCTCCTATGCGTCATGAAACTGCTGATGTTTCAATTCATCAGACCAGCTAATTAATCACTTTTACCCTCCTATCTCTTAATTTTTTATCCCAGTTTTCATGATCGCGGTTTTATTCGTCTATACCTCCCTTTCTTGGCCATGAGTTTTCTCTTCACTCATCCATATCATGCACCTGTCTTTTATGAGCACAACCTCATTCGTTCGGCCTGATTTTATCCACCTATTTTTATGGTCTTGCGCCTATTCATCCATCACAGATCCATTCTCTCATCTCTGTTCCTATTGTCTCCGTTCCTCTTTCTCTCCCTTTCCATGTTTGGTACATTAACCTATCACCTGGCACATATTAGCACAACATCAAAAAAGAATCGCATTAGCTCCAAGATGTTCTTTAGAGACATGCTAGGTGTCAGTATCACGCCTCATTTGGAAGATGGTTGATGTTTCCAACCTTAGTAAAATGGGGGTCTATCGTGTTCTCTACTAAGTGCTTCTTAATTTCAAGTAGCTAGTTACGGATTGTGAGGGTATGAGGCAACTTTTACTACCAAAATGGAGTTAACTCAATTCTTTGCAGGTCATTAATCCATGAAATTATTGTTTTAGTACTCTATGTGGGTGGATTAGACATTTAATGGAACCATTGCATTGTACTCTACTGCTGATTTGCATTTTCTTCTCTGAGTTCAAGCCTGTAATAAGTTTTATGTGAATTTTGCCAAATCGACAAATTAAACTCCTCATTACAGTTTTTTGATGATAGCCTACCTCGTGCCTCGTGGTGGAAAGGCCATTTTTTCTTTCATTGTTATACCCACTACTTCACAGCTCTAGGCACGCACTACTTTAACTGTTAGGGAACCAGGCTTGCGATTCGCCATACAACATAACTTAAAGTTGTGTGAGCAACATTTCTACGTGAGAAAAAGTTATGCTCAAAGAAGTAGATAAAAGAAACACCTACTCTTACTTTTACAGAGGAGTGATAACTCCGTGTTTTGTAATGTGAAAGTTAAGGTGTGAAATACGGATAGGCATTGTCTCACGCTCCTCCTCTTCGGTGCCTTTTCCGTGATAACACCTCTTCACTCATGCTTTTTCACCTTCTGTTGCTACCATTAGGCAATCACATTGGCGCATGATAAGTGGGACATCCGGTTTGGAAATAAAGGTTCCGTGACAATAGGAGTAGCTAATGGAAAGTGGCCAATTTTCTGGATTTTAAAAATAAACCATTTAATAAGGGCCAAATGTGTCCCAATGGGATTATTTGCCTGATTTTAGTGGTACCTATTTCGATGAGAAAAAAGTAAAGCTAAACATTGAAGAGCTTCCAATAGTTGTTTACTTTGGTTTACGCTATCCTAGAAGTTATCTGCACCCTCCTGTCGTGAGGATCGTTCACCACCTTCACGTAGTCGTCATAGGCTGCACAAACTGAAATGTATGACCTCTTTAATTTACGCACGTTCACCATCTTTCATCAGGTGGGCGTGAAGACTGATGTATACATTTTTTTTACTCTCTTTGTCAGTATCATTACTATCAAGGCGCATGGACTCTGGTGGGTGCTGGAATTATAGACCTGAAGCAATCTCGAATCCCCACTCAAGAGGCGATCCCTAACAACGCTGAATGGATTCAAGAAGAGGTTGTCAACTTCGATCCTCAGAACAATAAAGTCGCTCTTTCTGGAGGCAGACAGGTAAGATGAATGCTTTCGAGGTGAGGCTTGAGAGTGGAGTTTTGTGAGGTGTCGGTTGCATTGAGTAAACAACAGACGAGATTTCGACGCAGATGTCTTGGTTTGCTGACGTGTGAATGCGTAAGTTGTGGCCAAATGACAGTCTAGCAGACAGTACAAACTTTTACCGAGGAATTTTACGTAATCAGCCATTTGTTGGTGTTGCAAAGTTTTTTCTACTTCCTTTTTTTCTCTTGCATAGGTCCTTTTTAAGACAAATTGGTTTTAATCCTCAATGAATGAAATCTTTGATCATTGAATGCCGCAATTCAAAACCCTCATTATAGATGATTTTTTCCCCTCAACTGTTCACCTAATGGATTCAAGATGTTAGGCATTCGATGGCTTTGGAGAAGTTGCTTCCCTTGTTCAACGACTCCTCGGTCCTCGATCCACCCTCCGGACACCCTCGCAGCAC